ATGCTAAAAATATTTGAAATGTGTTACTTCATTTTAATTGAGTTTATGAAAGAAGTATGTAAACGAAAGCACACTGTTTTACATGCAATGAAATGATGTAGTGAAAAAAGTGCAGTTTTGGCTGACAACAGTCGGGATACAGTAAATATAAAAGCGTCCAGATTCCTTCCTAAACTCATGTTAGAAATTCTCGCTTTTGCAATATATGAGTAGGCCCCACAAATACAATAAGGAGTATATTTTGACGCTTCCATGCTATTCGTTGCGTACGAAGTATCAAACATGTTTACAAGAACACAACAAAATCGTATGGTTTATGTACTATACAAACCAACCAGAAGATAGAAAAAATTATATAAAGTTTAAATTTAAATATTTTGATTTTACATCATAAATGGATGCTATGTTTTGTTGCTCTAATATAAAATAAATGCTGCAGTTTGTTGCTTTATCATAAGTGAATATCAAATTTTTTTTTTTTGGGTTATTGTAAAAGGAAGTTCACGCTTTCATTACATTTATATTTCAGTAATTTTTTGTTTAAATAAACTTCACTATCATTAAATTGGGTTTTAATTTTAATAATTTCTCAATATATCGCAAAGATGAAAGATACTTCCGCTGGAGTTATTTTCCGATAACCTTATTGCTTTGCATAGGGACAATTGATGCATTTTACGTAAAGCAATGGTAGCTTAGCAGTTTCCAAAAAGACGCCAGTGCATCGAATACATTTTCGATCTTCGTTATTCCACAGGATAACCCTTTATTGACATTTTTCTTGCCTTGCAGTAAGGCCTCATTAAGTTGTCTCGTAGAGCAAATGCAGTAAAAGCAGCATCGCACAGTTCTAACAGAACTATTGAGTACGTGCCTGAAAGCTGGAATATATTATAAAACGTATCTACGCAGTGTAGCTGATTTTCAAAATTATTCGCAATACGCTCCTATTCCAAAGGCATAAAAACGGAGCAAGAACATCTCATAAGACCCACTGCGTTTCTTGGATAATCGACCTTACTGTAGACGCTCCCATTTTACAACTGCGGTAAGTATCTGATACTTCTTCCATGTGCTATATATCTGCATACAACCCGAGGGAAACGTTTTTGTGAATTGCACTTATAACAAGTGAGAAACTTACACCAGTGTTAAGAACAATCTGCACTTAGCAAAGAACATATACATGAACATTTCGTTACCATTTTTTCCGTCAAATTTAGTAGAATGTTAAGGATTCAAGCGAACACTCGCTTTAAATTGCTCAGTTCAATATAATACGTACGATCGAAGATTGTCTCAAATAATCCATCCAGAACTCCGTTTTTATATAAGGACCTTACCCGAGGGCGACATCACTCGCGCGTCATTCCTGTTATCATAATTCAAATAATTAAATCCTCGCTATCCGTACAGCTATCAAAGGTTCCTTATTAATTACAAATCTTATATTAATCACAGTGTGAACGTATCAACAATAATTGAAATCGCCTTTATCTTCCTTCCTATTTTTCGTGTGTTGATGGAAAGTATATTTGGGAGGCATTATTCTGTCTATTAATTTTAACGCTTCTTCACTAGCGTTTACATAAACAAATGCTAAACACATGATTTTACTTTAGCAGCGCATGGAATCTGTATGTTCAAATTATTTTGTGGATGCGTTAAGCGTTGGTCTCATAACGCAAACGTTGTGCGTAGCACTTTATGCAGTTTTTTAATTGAAAATTCCAAATATACGTTTTTGAGTGGAAAAAGAGTTAAGAGTGCTATATTTTACTTGTCAAAAACAATGCACGCACGATTTTTAAAAGTTGCCAAAAACTTGCCTCAACGCACACGCTATCAGTCCTTCCTTCTTTTATGAATATCTCACTTGCATTAAAAATCTCATCCACGACCTAATTACATATTATCTACTTTTGAAGCGAATGTGGGCAAACTCTTACCGCCGCAAGTATTAGCCATAACAGTTTTTGGTCAGTTGACGGAACATATTTGATAGACGAAATTAAAAACTTGGCGTTGGAAAACAACGGTCAGATTCCACACCGGATGAAACAGTGAGCAATTATAAAGTCTTTACGTGAATAAAAGATCGGGAAATTTTGTTTTGAAACTGCATATGAGCCCCTCTTCATAGATTAACATATCCATCAGCAATCTTAACAATTTTTTGAAGTTCTGTAATTTTTATCTTTTTTATTTGACAAACTTCCCTTTTTCTCTTCAAGTCTTACGAATATACTTTGCAAGATTCTTTTTATGTAAAATAAAAAAAAAAAAGAAATACTGTAATAAAACAAATAAATTTAAAGTATTTAGTACACTGAGAACAAAACGGCATCGATATTTTTCAAATCCATTGTTCATAAGATGGAAATTAGAAGATGGGTGGACTTTGTAAAAAGTTTTGATGCAATGCTGAAGTTGAATATATGACATTACGTTTTTAACGCTTTCAATCTTAAAAAAAAAACTCTTAAATAACTAAATTTATTCAATTACATTTCTTCTTCTTTAATCAGCACTATTTTCTTTTCCACCAGTGTTTTTATCATCATCTGGAGTATGCCAGGTCAGCCGCTCTTCATAAAATTGTATGACAACTTGAGGGCACTTGATGTTGGCTTGTTTTGCAGGCACCAAGTCGGCCTCGTCACTGCCTTTCCATTTCATAAGGAACATCAATTCACCCGAGGAATCAGTTGCGCCTAAGATCTTCGATGGTTCCAAGCCGCGATCGAAACCCATAGTCTTTTTATTATCCTTTTCGTCCTCACCTGCCTTCCGCTTGGACTTCGCCTCATTACTAGGTGTCGTCGAAGGGCGCTTCTTAGCCTCTTTTTTGCTTTTTAAAGACTCCTCAAAAGCCGCTATTAAATCTGGGCAATCGAGATTTTCGACGGGCTCCCATGTATTTTCACTGCGAGGATAACCCTTCCATTTTAAAAAATACTCAGTCTTCCCATTCATTATACGTTTGTCTTCAATACGCTCAACAGAGTATTCGGCAGCACCATCTCCTTCATTATCCATTATAATTTCTTCTTTTTTGTTAGATTGTTTAACTCGGCTATGAGTTAAGAACACAACTTGTATATGTCAACGATGAAAACAAGTATCGATTACAGCACTTATCGAACTTCAATGCGGAGCAAATTTAATCGATTAATAATTTTGACTAACAACCCCGACAAATCTATATAACCAAAATTCTTAAACCCAGAAATGCCATTAATTTAGTAATCATGGGAAAATAGGGCCTTTACAGGGCCCTTTACAAATATTTCATTAATATCTTTTTAGTATGTATTTAATTTACAGTAAAAGATAATAAGCAATTGTTAAAGCAAGATGTGAAAGATTACAGAATTTATTGTCACATGATGTTTGAATAAGCAAAGATAACTATATAAACCAAAAAAATTCATTAAAGAACAAAAACGAATTAATTTCCAAAGATCCAAGGTCTTGAGCTATCTCGATGGCGAATCTCCATTTTACGTTGTTTTTGTTATCGAGCAACCGTTAATGGGAATATGACCGAATGTAGGGTGACTATTTGCTCGATAGCGAAATACCCGTCGAGCTTCATGTTCAAACCAAAATATTGTTATAAAAGCATATATTGGATAAAATTAGAAAAATTACTTAATCTCCCAAATTTCAAAACGCTTCCCAATATAATGAAGCTCTCGATACTCGTACAAATTTCAGTAAATGCGCTCATTTCAGCTCGTTTACTCCCTCTTACTCTCTTTAATATCGTTTGCTTTTATCGGATGGTCTAAAGCCTAATAATTTTACTGAGCAAATGTTGCTAGCGAAAAATCCTTTCTTATATATAGTAAATTATTAACTCTAAAATTTAAAAAAATTAAAGTATGGCCGAAATTAAATTTGCGATTTGTGCAGAAAAAAATTTCGTAAACGTAGATACAATTTTTTTTTTAATATCGAGCTTCCTTTTATAATCGTTCATTGAAGAGAAGGAAGCCGGGAAAGAAAGAATCGCCACGAGACGAACGTAAAAAGTTTTGCAGGGCACATCAGACTTCTTAACCCTACATCAAAACCAGTAAATAAATTGTTTTTAATTTTTACAAACAAGGTATAAATATATATTATATCGTTGGTGAGTAACATTGTGGAAAGTTGCATTGGAGTGCATAAAGGCTAATATTACAATATCTACTAATTCGATAATCTAACCACAGCTTTTGAAAATTTAAAAATTAAAAAATAAGTGGCTGACGTACTCTACAGGAGAAGTGAAAGAGTTCCTACACCCCAAAAAAGCTGGGAAGAATCGCAAACTTTTGTGCGACGCTTCACAGCATTTGCGTTCACTGAAAAGTGAACGCAGTCCAGGCTACCTAAAAAGATGAAGGTTGATGTTCGTGTAGATGTACTTTAATTGAGGCTGCTAGGTGGACAAGTTAGAGGATTGCTGACACGAAATTTATAAACATAAAATTCTTAAAAATATAATTAATTTATAAACTTTCAACTCGCATAAAAATTTATAGAAAAGTTAAATAAATACTAAGAGTGAAACCTTTCATATATTGGATTTTCATTTTATTAGCCCAGATTTGAGCATAAAAAAAAAGTTTGGCATATTGGAACGAAAGAGAAAATTTGAAGTAATGATGATCGTTTATATGAATGAATCACTAACAATATTATAACACTCACGTTTATTGAAAATCTGTATGAAAGAATATATTATAATTAAGCTTTCCTGCAATAAAAAACTTAAAAATTTAAACACGGCTTAATTTACTTAATTTAACTACTTTTTTCAATTCTCAAATTTTACATAATTTTGTATTCATTTCATTTTGCATGCTTGGTATTGTTTATTATACGTAGTTTGTTTACGAAAAACAAATAAGCGTCAATTTGGCTGTCATTTTTTAGTTCTCCAATTATTGATGCAGGTATTGGAAAGCTGGCGAAGATTGTACCAAGCGATAATCACGACGACGACCGACTGAAAAAATAGAAGTTTTAAATAAACAATGATATACCTAAATCAATTTATTAAACTTTGGTTGATATTTTTGTTTAATAGATTTTAATTTTCACTAATTTTTTTTTTCTAGTTTTATATTTCTTTTGATTACTTACTTACATTTCTTGATTTCAGTCCAAAAAGCAACCGTACGATAGTTTGACGACGCGAACCGTAAAGTGACCCTAGTACGTGCTGCCCCTTATTATATTGGACTCATCAAGAAGACGTATTGCATTGACATAATTACATTGTCTAATCGGCAATTTTGAAGAAATCTGTTGAATTCGAATTAACGAAAAGAAGAACAGTTTTAGATTGATATTTCTGAATTATTTTAATATTAACTTTATATTGAAATGCTAAATTACGAATGATGTCAAATATTTTTTTTTTAATATAAGCAAGCATTCACAAGGTGTGTCACAGGGTTGCGGACAAGAAAGAGAAAAGATATAAGGAGGTGGTGGCCGCAGCCTAGTTGTTGTACGCCCAATCGACAAGCGTTATGCCTTTATCGACTGTGGGCTCGCTATAGTTACGACGAAAGAATAAATAAGCAATACGTGATTTAATTGTTTTAATAAATTTAATAAATTTAAAATTTTACTTTCAAGTGCACAATTTAGCAATTCTGAACTATAGATCAACAAAGCAATTTTAAATAAATCAAAAATCGAATAGTATTTATAGACACGTCAAATTGTCTTAAATCTTCTTATTTTATTTACAATTAAAAAATGTTGCTGTCAACAATTTTCAGGGCTGTGAATGACATTTGTCGGATGGCGCAGTGTATCAATCACACCAAACTCATCTTGAGAGATCGAGTTATAGTTTCTTATGCATAAAAAGTAAAATATTTTGCACTATATCTAAAACTAAACATCTTGAAGATATTTTTGCTTACAAAACCTTGATTTCAGTTACTTTTAAATTTCTTTACCGTTCGCGGCTTTCCGTGATATAAATACAATGGACGCATTAATGCATACAGATGGTTTCTTCTGGTTAAGTTGGAAAAGAAAAACTTACACAACGAGAAAGTTTTATCATAGGTAAGGCATTTGCTTCCATGTGCTGTCGTAATTCGAATACGTCTCCTCATCTATATTTAGATTGCACTGTACACGTAAAAAATGCAATACAATAATAAAATCATCAGCAACTTTAGGTTTAACTCTTTTTCAACAAAAACAAAATAAAATGACTAATGGTTCCAGCCCTTGGCGTTCGACGGATATACTTAGGATAAATAGTAATAATTTCTACGCCTTTACGTACTTTATCAAGGTGAGAGCATGCTTCCATTGATGTTCACATCTTCGCAATTCCCCCTCTTCCATTTTAACTGACTGCTAGCAATTGCGTGCATGGGGAGTAATCACAACATTACTATAAGCGCCTTTGCAATTTTGTTTTAATCTATGGGCTACCGTGTTTTGAAACCAGGAGCGGATCTTAATGAATAATTTCATATGCACTTTCCGTCTCTTTGTCGGCTTATTATGCTTAGTAATTGCATAATTGCATAATTGCATAATGCACATTGATCCTTATTGAGATTCGCAGCTCTCAAAATTCTAATAATAAGAACGTGTTTTAGTTATTAAATCCAGACATTTATTACAAATAGAGCAAGTGAGAAAATTACCTAGGACGAATCTTTCATACTCGTAACTAAATCAACGCATAAAAATGGGATTTATTGCGTTAGTTATTGACGCGCCTCTTTTATGAGAAATTTTTGGTGGCGAAAAAAGAAGCACTGTATATATATACATCAGAATTTTTGAACTTGATAATTTTGTTTGTATTTGGCTTTAAACCATAAATCTACTTTTTATAACTTTGTTAAATATTAAATGACTACATTATCTAAATTTTCTTTAATATAAGAATGTTCAATTGATGAAGAGTTTCTAAAGATAGCCACTCTGGAAGGAAAAGCGTCGTTGAAGCCTCGTTAATGCTAATACTGAGAATGCATTATCGTAGTTGGGTAGGAAAGGTTTACTATATGGAGACATTTATGTTAAATAACACAAACACAGCAATTCCGCCGCCCCAAAATCGGCGCATGTAAAATTCGAAGCATTTCACTTATTTTCTTTGTACCATTCTGATGAAAACCAATTTTAGGCATATATAAGCATATTATTATAGCACTGTATGCTGTCTATGAACACGTGGAAAGTAAAAAAGCTAAAGCTGACTGCTCATGACACAGAATATACATGTACTTTTTGTTCTGCTTTCGCATGTGATAACAATAATGCCAAACTTTCAGTGGTTGGTGTGATATATATAACCTTCAATTATGCTAAAAAACGAATAGCGCCTCTTCGGCCGTACTTAAATCAACTTGTTATTAATTCTCATGCTTATTTCTTTCACAGTGCGCTTTTAAATTGGTTTTGCGGGCAAAACTTTTATCGCAAGTTTTACATGTAAATGGTTTCTGACCAGTATGAAGGAATATATGATCCTTCAATCCGGAAGCATACTTAAATGTTTTCTGACACTCATTGCATTTATAAGGACGTAAACCTGAATGGACACGCATATGTACATCTAAGTTATCCTTGTGTTTAAACGATTTTCCACACTCGGAACAAGAATATGGTTTTTCGTCGCTATGGGTTTTTAAATGGTATTTTAAACTTGATGATCTTTTAAAGGCTTTCTCACAGATATCGCATTTAAAAGGCTTTTCAAGGGAATGAAGACGCACATGTGCTCCTAATCTATCTTTATGTTTGAATGATTTACCGCACTGTGAACAAATGTAAGGTTTTTCTTCACTGTGCGTTACAAGATGATATTTTAAACTATGTAGACTTCTGAAGGTTTTCTCGCATGCTTCGCACTTAAACGGTTTATCAGCGAAATGAATTCGCATATGTACTAATAATTTATCCTTGTGTTCATATGATTTGTCACACTCGGAACAATTGTATGGTTTCTCATCATTATGTGTTACTAAATGATATTTTAAACTGTCTAAGCATCTAAACGCTTTTTCACAGAAATCGCATTTAAACGGCCTCTCACCCGAGGCTTGAGTACGCAAGTGCACTTTGTCGCAAATACCACATCGCACCGGCAACAGCATCTCGGACGAATTGAAATCTTCGTTCATGTCATCTTCGGGCTCGCTAGTATCACTGCCACTGAAGTCGCTGAAATTAATTTTTTAGTATTCCATTGTTAAAAAGGCATATGTAGTTACCTCTCAACGCATTCTTCTGTTTTAATATCATCACTAAGTCTCAATTCACATTTTAAGGGCGACCCAATTTGTTCTTTTCTATTTTCAAGTGCTTCCAATTCTGTCTTAGGCGATACTTCCATTAATATTGGATATGGAGTTTCTGTCATCGCAGGTTCTGTCTTAATCGGTACGTTCAGTATCTCTGATCGGATTTCTTCAGGTTCTATTTTAATATGCATTTTCTCTAGGGCAGGTTGATGTACAGGCATATCTTGCGAGAAATCTTCGCTTTTAATATCGTATTGGAGAAATTCCTCATGGCGTTTGCGGGCTTCTAAGATAAATTTGTAGACATGCTTTAGCAAATTAGCACATTCTTTGCAAATCTGTTGTGGTAATCGATCTTCCAAATTCTTCTTAACAAGTAAAATCAAACGTTTAGGTTTAAATTATAATTTCATTGGAAACTTACGTCCACTTGCAACAAATCTTTTAACAATTCACCGTAAGTCTTTCGTTGAGTATCGCTGTCATCAATCACATGCTGTAAGCATTGGTAACTTGTTATGGATTTTGTGCATGTGCGACAGTCTGCTTCTATGGTTTTCGCAATACAGGAATTGCAGGGCGTAACAACGGGGCACGAGTCCATTTTTATAACTTGAGTAACTACGAACCCGGTTTGCTTTTATATTCAATGATGAATATTCGAACACAACTTTCATTTATTAGAATGATCAAAAAATAAGTCTCTTCCTCTTTTTAATCAAGCTCAAGGAAATTAACAACTCATTGCGCTGCCCTGATGTTAGCTACGAACTAAAGAGAAAAGCAGTCTCAGTTCAGAAATTCTTCAAGTAGCTTGATATAGAATCGATATCGAAACTTGCCAATTTTTTGGAAATTTGTGCCTTATGTAGCATATTATAGAATTCTGGACAAAGGACTTAAATAAACATAAAGTCAGTGCTCGATTTGTCCCCCCTGAATGAAGATCGAACCATTTCGCAACAGAAGCGAAAAAAAAAACAAGGGTTATGAAATTAGTAAGAGAGAGATAAGTAATGGCTTTGTTATATAATTAGAATGGACGTCTTAAGCCAAAATTTGCTTTTTAATTCAATTTTGAATAACGTAGTAAACCGCAATACACCACACTAATCTTCAGAATCTCCAATAATTTCCAAAAATGTAATATCCTTCTGCATAGGTATCTATTTATTTACATAAGACTAAACTAAAAGATCAAAATTAATTAAAAGTTCTTATATTTAAGGTGTTCTCGATAGGATTAATTCTTATATATTTTTTATATGTACACATACAGAATGCTGTTGTATTGTGCCTAATTATAAGAACACGAAAAAGGCAGATGCCATATTTATGCTTTTAGTACCATTGCCAGACCTGTCAACCATAAAAAATCTTCCCCTTTTCAATTAGTAAACAGAACGTGGTTATTTAATACTGAGAGCAGTTACAACCGCCTAAGTGTTTCGATTGTACGATATGAAGAATAATATGATGGTAGTCGTTCAGTCGTTGATGAAACAGACCTTTCTCTTGAAGTATTTATATTAGAATTTGAGTTGTCGTCTTAGAATTCAACAGAAACTGAACGTTTTATATTTATTCTATTTCTTTTATATGGGGTACCGTTAACATCCACAAGAACCATCTGAAACCTTGTCTTTCAGGAATCTCTTTAACTTTATTTTTTCCGCAACTTAGGCTTAGTTGTATTCCAACTCCTTGTCCAATTTCAAGCACTTTCGTGGATTTATCATACGGACGTTTACCTCTCTTCTTGTTAACTTCTGTCGGGGAATATATCCGCTGAGATTATTTGACATGCATACATTGGCATTTGATGTAATTTTATTGTTAGTTTTTGTTGTGTCTCAAAAAATTTTGCACATGTTTCGCAGTTTCGGATTTTCTTCTCTATTGCCTCACATCTAAATGAAAAATGTGTTCCTTAGATAATTTGATAGAGTTTTCAATACCAGAGTGACTGATGCGACAGCTGCCTTGAAGCGATTGTTTTATCGTTCTGGAAAACTGCGCCCCCTAGTACAATGGAAAATTCTTTACAATGAATGTCGACACACAGCATTCCTATAATTGTCACCGTATTAATTATGATCTCAATCAATTCTCTAAATTCGAAACATATTCATGGGGTGTTGTCTACAATAAGTTTCCACAGTTCAGCATTTCTCATGGACAAGTTCGGAATAAAACGACTTAAATAAATCACCATTCCAAGCAATCTTTAGAGATCAGCTTTATCTATAACATCGATTTCCCAATTGTCCAGTTGAAATTCTTTATCCGATAGATTATGACCATAAAATTTAACACGAGGTTTACACAAACTCATTTTTGTTTTATTCAGTTTACAACTCCACCTCCCACAACGTTTTAGTAGCAGTTTGAACTTTCTATTGTGACCAGTCATCGCTTCACGTAATATTTCACGGCAGCTATAGATCAGCATGCCGTCATCCATTATCTTTATTCCTTCTAGATCGTGAGACATTTATCGAATGTTCAGCTAAAACAATTGTGGAACTGGCGAAACCCCAAAAGGTAACACTTTCGTCGCCGTATGCCAAAAGGAGTTCAATACGTCATTAGATAACTGCTATCATCTTCAAGCCACGCGGAATCTACGCCTCCTGTCGAGCTAGACAATCCCTACAAACTAGAGGCTTAAACAGCACCAGAGTCCAGAACGGTTTATTGCGTTTGGATCAATAAACCCCACTCTGGTCAGTGGTGAGGCCTAGCTGCACTCGATTGTTCCACTTTGGCTTGGAACTGCCAACCACAACCACCACGAGTACTCCCCGAAGGGTCGCACCCAAGCAGTCAGGACTCACAAATTGGTCAACGTTATGCGTTCAAAAGGGAAAATTGCGCTCCCTTCCACCATAAGGTTTCCACGGCGCCGTTGATCAATTACCACCATTACCCGCAGGCATCCGTGACATATGTTCAAAAGTATGTTAGGCAAAAGGGGAAGAAGCCTTCCGTCAAATCCCTTTTTAATAATATTTGCAGGTGTTATTTCTCAAGAGGGTTTTTATTAAAAGGCCAAAGGGAAAGCCATCCGTCAATTCCTTTTTTTGTATCATTAACTCTACTCTTGAGAAAATTCTTATTCCGTTACGACTTTTTGAACAAAGTCCATCATATACCCGCAGGCATACGTGGCTTTGTGAGGCGAGCTTCCTGACCCCCGTGGCTCCCAGTTTGTTTTGCAAAGCCTTATGGCATACTTTGGGCGGTTGTTAAAAACAACCGTACTTGCTTCGGATTCACCATACTTTCCTGGTTGCCAGCCCCAAGTGAACTACTTTTCTTCAAGATATATAGGTCTCGGGTATTGCACTGAACATGGTAGACTAGTCTAATGCACTCTACCATGCACTCGCTAGATTACTACCTTCATTGTACTTAAATACCATTCAATATATTTCCTCGGTAGTAACTAGCTTATTGAGTAAGAGCTCTTCTTCCAGCCAACCCCTCCACCATCTCTCAGAAACTCGTCGCCGAGTTAGCAGCCCAAAACCTTAAACTCTTCTTAGCCGGCCGAAGCCGTTGCCCGGGGATCACCGCTGGGAGGTGAGAGTTTCGGCACATCTACGCTTCTCATCAAAGCATAGTTCATCTCCCCAATGTAGGTGTCAGTAAGACGTAAAACATCATGGTCTAGAGGGGGCGCAACCATCACTAGAGCTTTAACTGAGACCGTTTTGCAAACGGGCAGGCACGCCAACAACATTATTCGTTGACAGCTCAAAATCCTATTTCCACAAAGACCGAGCTGCAGTTATTTGGAAAGGTAAGGGGGCTGTGGCGCCATTTTCGTTTTCGCGTTAAAAACCTCCAAGTGTTTTAGAGCAAAATATGAACAACAACATGGTTTTAGAACCAAAAATAAATAAACCGACATAAAATAAACAACAAAATTAGAAAAAATAACAATAAGGAGGTTAATATAGAAGTGAACAGGCTAGTTTCAGGATTTCAATAACACGTTCAACTTACCTCATTGCAGTGTATATTTGGCATCTTAGTCTCGTTTTGGAGAGTCTTAACAAAATCCTTAGATACGAATTCAGAAAGTGACTGAAATTTTGGAATTTCAGAAATTGTTTTGTCGGCATCCTTAATCGTGAATTTTATTCATTTGCCTGAACTGTTAAGCTCCACAATCTGCTTAAATTTTATGATACCATCGAAAGCCTATTTTTGTACTAATTGCTTCATAATTTGAAAATTATCATTTATCACTCTTTAAAAAAACAATTTGATGAATATATTTCAACTTTAAAATAAATGATCATTCATTTGTAATGGATGGTATAAATCAAAATTGCAAATCACATAATATAAAGCAAATAAACATTAGTATAAGATAAACGTATATTATATAATTAATTTCGAAATTTTAAATAAACGTCTTTATTTCCTCTTGTGCGTTGTTTTCTTTTTGTTTTATTTGTATGTGCATATGCAAACCCATATAATTTGTCAATTTCCATGAAGCTTTGTAAAATTCAGGAAACTTGAAGTTCCAACTCGAAAATAGGAAAAATGCCCCTTTGTCTAAATATAAATTGGCATAAACTTATCGACAATAGCTTAAATACAAAATGGTGTCAGGTTCGTTCAAAAATAGATACGCACATTCAGATAGCAAATAATGCAACAGCTTCTCCATCTTATCCAAAACCACTGAGGTTTTAGATAGTTCCTCGCCCTCATCAGAGAGACGCCCATATACGTATCTCCATTGGAACTCAAGGTTATCCTCGGGGCGTTGAGTATGCGTTTCCACGCTTCGTGTGCCATCGTGGGGTTAAGCCTTCACGGCAGGTATACACGTATAGGGCCATCTCCAGTTCGGTCTAATCGATAGAGTAGTTGAGAAACTTTATTTGCCAACGATATTAATTTCGAAAGCATGCAAGCAAGATTTAGATGATTTTGGTTGCTGAAACCTTGAAAGCTGTAGCGGGCGGTGCAAAATTGCAACCAAGACCAAACTAAGCGTTAAAGTAATTTTTACTTTGAGAAGCAACTTTTAAATTGAATTTAGAGCATTGCATTATTTAGACGTGGGCTCATTTCAAAAGTTATTACTTTTCTCATATTTTATTTATTGGGATTCTTCAACAGTGTTTTTTCAATACCGTCTGGGTTTTCTCGACATAAAATCTGAACAACGCGACCGTGCTGCTTGGGACTCAAACGGTTAAGATCTCTCTTCACACAGTAGTAAACTTTCTTCTCCGCTCACACAGTAGTACACTTTTGGGAGAGAATTATGAAAAGAGAACAAAGTTGAACGTCCGTCTGTATAAGAGCGCTTTTTTTGAAATAAAATTAGCGCGAGGACATTGTCAGAGGTTGGACGTTGGCAGAAAAGAAAAACTTACAGAACGCTAGCCAAGACATGGTCGTGGTCGTTAAAGGAAAAAAAAAAATGATCTAAGACAGTTTAATGTAAATATCAAAATAAAACCAAGCATTGCAATTAAATGAAAACCTTGTGATATTAAAACTTCTAACAGCAAGAAAACATCAAAAAAAGGATGATTTAATACAGTTTGAAATAAATATTAAAAGACCTAAATTTCGCATTTAAATGAATTGTCATGATTTGTCTTATTAAAACCGCTATAAGTTGTGTATGAAAATTAAATTGTTAATTAAAGAACATGCGAAATTTTGTATAAAACCAAATACGAGTCCATAGAAACAAAATGCTAAATGGTTAGGACAAATATGAAATGTTTTTGTAAGGGTAGTATATAAATATATGGGAGTGCAATTTGAAACAATAAAATTAGGATATTAACAAAAAAAAGAGGAATCAAATAAGTGTTTTAATACAGCTCCAAAGGGATATTTGGCTTGTAGGGCAATTGCTATCGTTCATGGAGGACGTCATCACGTGGAAGCCTAGACGATTTGGCCGAAGTGGCTTTGCTAGAGTGCCAGGACGAAGGAAATCGGCGTTCACAGCAAGTAAGAATTGTAAGACATTCGTTTAATAAGTCCAAAAAGAAAAACGAGGGAAGAAAGGGAAAGAGAAACAGAATGTGAGCGTAGCTGAGCTAATCAGGCGGCAAAAAGCACAAACCTAGTTTCTATTTACACATAACAAACTATTGTGTTGGTGTATAATTATTAGTCGTTTCGTTGACGTGCTACAGTTTAATAAAAATTTACAAAATTTATTATATTTATGAATAACATAAAAATGTGTGTCGATAACAACACTCATATTCGAAAGTCGATGCAAGAAATGGTTCACCCGTTTTAAATCTGGCGACATCAGCTTGAAAGACAAGTCAGGAAAAGCTGACCATCAAATTTCGACGACTAGGCATTTTTGTCAGCTGTGGAAGAGGACGAAAACTTGACCGACAATATCAATGGAAGCTCAGAAATGTATTGAAGTAGATGTAGGTTGCGCTTCGGATTAATCATTTAAAAGTTTTCCTATTGAATTTTTATGTTTTCTTTTTCATAATAAAAAGTGTTCAAAAACACCCGCTTTATGCAACAAGTTATTACGATGTAACCGCTTTTCGTGGAAGACAAATACCGTAAAGTTATCAGTGCAGCTAGTAGCATTAACTTTTATTAACGGCACCGCGGCAAAAATTCCATTAAAAACGCAATAAAAAGCAATCTTTTAAACTTTTAAAAAAAGTTTTTTTGGCTTCTAAATATAATGATAATATAATAATAACAATAATAATATAATAAAATTATAATAATAATAATATTTCAATGCTAATATTTTGCCGCGGTGGCGTTAATATGTAAGTACGCTTAACTGTGCAGACCATTACAGACCTGTGCATAAATCTTCAAATTGGAGTTTACCAAGAAAAGAGCGAATTAAAAATTTGATTAATTGCATTTCAATTGTAAGGTATGAATTTTGCTAATAATAATAAAATTTTGGTTTTCCATCTTAAATTTTTCTCAAATTTGTGGAAATAATCAATGCGGATTTTAACTAATATTGTGTCTGCGTACGTGACTTTTGGTCTATTCTTTGTCCAAAATAATTTTAAAAAGCGCGAATGATAAGTTTACTGGAGAGAACCTAAAAAGTAGGTCGCAAATACGCACACTTCAAGATATATTGATAAATGAAAGCAACGAAACGTTTCACAATTAATGCAGAAACGAAAGCTGGAATGAAATCGAACAAAATATGAAAAGCAGCTGGCTTCCATTGCTCAAAGAAGCGCTCTCGTTAACAACTGATCCGCACACCAAACTGGATGGAACTGTGCGCATTTAGGAAACTGTATACGACGACAATCGTGCGGTTATAATAAACTATCTATGACAAAAGAATGTAAGTGTGTACGTACTAGAATAGATAGATGTTTACGCCCTTGTTCCGAAAGTCGTTTGGAATCAATTTTGTATAAATTGATTATTCTGCAAATATTGCAACAAGAAGAATTAAAATTTGAAATTGAAAAGTCACCATCTCTTGCAATACGGCGAGCAAGAACTTCGACGACAACATCTATAAATAACGCGTGATGTGTCATTAATATTTGGAAATCTTTCGAGTTCGGAGTTATAAAAGTTATGATCTTGAATCTGTATTGAAAATGACGGCGGCTAGCTTCTCTCTATTCTCATGTTATGAAAGCGTTCACTGCTGAGCTGATTGATAATTTGCAGAAATTTGCCAATGTGCGATTACATACGAGCGTTGCACGCTCGGCCACAAAG